TTTTTTTTTTTTGTACTGGGGATCAAACTACAACCTTGCACTTGCAAGGCAGGTGTGGTGCCACTGAGCCATATCCCTGGCTTCTTGCTTCTTTTTCAATAAACTCTTCATTAGCTATTTTTTTCTTTCCTCAGTGACTTGAAAATGCTTCTTTTGTCATATGTTGTTACATATACTAAGGTCTGTTTTAATTTTATATGTGGTGGTAGAGAATTTGATTTTTCCTTATTTTCTTGGGGATACTAACACCTAAAAGGCAGTATAGCCCATTAAGAGCTTCATTATTATATAAAGAATGTAAACATTGTAATAAAGAACTAAAATAAATCATATCAAAAATTATGAGAAACTTAGAACCTAGAACCTCAATTCATTTCCTCTTCTAAGTTCTGCATCATAAGATGTATAATTTAAAAAGGATTAATCTTTACCTGTTTTTTATGAAAAGGTTTTAAATTGTCCATTTTATACTTTTTCTTATATCTTGTTACATTATCTTCAAGAAGCAGTATAGTGTAAGAATGAAGATGTAGGGACAAACTGCTGGGGTCAGATTTCCTAATTGTACGATTTTTAAACTGACTATTGAACTCTTTATGCCTCAGTTTCCCTACCTGTGAGAAGATAAACTGACTTATGAAAAATAGTGTGTACAATACTTGGCTCATATAAAATCTATAAGGATTAAATGCTATTTTATTTGAACTGGTATCTGGCAATCCCTTTAGTTCATAAAAATTATTAATTTTCATCTTGAGGATAAGTTTGGTAAGATAAGGATGAAGCCAGTGAATCACTCCCGTTTCTTCCCTCAGCTCCCCACCCCTCCTCCATACTGGGATCTAACCCAGTGCCTCACACTAGGCAAGCACTGAGGCACTGAACCCCAGTCCCCTCTTCCTACAATTTAAATATAAACCCATTTTTACCTAGAAATATTAAACATCTCAGTACAGAAAATGCTGACATCTGTTACAGGGCATATTTTCATATCTTTTAGTATGATATATAATTTTCAGTTATTGAAGGTATATTTTCCAATGAAGAATACTTAAAATTGAATTTGATTGGTTTTATTCAGCTATTGAGTACAGGCAAAATTGTTATATAACTTGTTTTCATTTCTTCTACCTTATAAAAGAGCCTTAAGTTTAGTAATGATGAGTCAGTTATTTTTGTAAGAAGCTAAGTTTTTATCTCAGTGTTTTTGGAGCAAGTGTATATTTATCTTGATAACTGTAAATCAGATCCAAATCAAAAGTTTATCACATTGTTTAGCTCACAAATAGGAATTTGGTTATAAATTCTCGAAATTGTTTTCTCTGTGTTTTTCTGTGTTTGGTTTAATAGACAAGTGAATATGACAGTGATTAATAGTAATGAATTTTACTGTGAACATTCCCAGAAGCTCTTATTTTTTTGTAGCTGAAAAACAAAATATTTCCAGGAATAGCAAAACTTTCCTTGTGAAGACTTTAGTGTTAATATAATATGCAGCCATTACATGAAGATAACATTTCTGCCTGCCCTTTCTAGGTGTGTCTTTCTAATCAGGCTTCAGGGATTTTTTGCAGTAGCCTTTATGGATCTGCATTAATATATGCACCTTATTTGATCTAGTCTCTGTTATGACTAATGATTTATGCCAGGAGTGTGCTGAATTTGTAGTATGTTTTCCATGAACAAAGTTGACTGCCTTATTTGGAGAATGAACTCTAGACTTTGACCAGTTTTTGAACCCCCTGCACCCCATTGTCATCAGCTGAGCTAAGTGTTAAGTATCTAGACCATAAAGTGAATTAATATATCAAAATTCTTCCTAAGGTACTGTTACATATATAGCATATATAAACCTAAGACACTATTATTTATGGCATTTGTTGAAATTAAGGCAGGGGAGAAAAGGGCAGTAGTTTGTCTCATTTTAACCATAACACATTTATTAAAATATTCTTCTAAGTAACAATTCTAAAAGGTAAGAATGTACAAGTGAATATGACATTTTTAGGAATCCTGCCGTCCTTTATTGCTGTAGATACGTGGTACTGTTAGGGTACTTATGAAGTATCACGTCTAGAAGCGATTTACAGTTCTCGATGGTTTGAAGAAGCACCACTGGAGTATATTAACCAGCTGTATTTTCTGGACAATGTCTCTGTTTTTATTTTTGTTTTATTTACTTATTTTGTGATGCGAGGACCAAATGCAGGGCCTCAGACATTCTAGGCAAGCACTGTATCCCTGAGCCTCATCCCAGCCCCTTATTTTGATGTGTTTAACCATCCAGTTTTATTTAAGGAAAAAGTTTATGATTTTAAGGTTTTTTTTTTTTTTTAGTTTCTTGACTAATAGGTTTTATGTTTATTTAATAAGCATATGATTTTATTGGGCTTTATGGTATATACCAAGTTCTAGGTACCATTCTAAGTTTTTTTTGTAAGTATTAAGTTTTAACAATTATGTACAACTATTTGTTACATTTCTTGTAAGCATCTTTCTTGATATTATGTACTCAAACCGACTGACTCAGATTCATTAAAACTATGCATTAAATCTATCAATTTTATTCAAGTAAAGTAGAAATTAAATTTTTAAAATTTTAATTATTTATTTGTAACAGGCCAATACAGTACAATACTTACAGTAGTATATGTTATACAAAAATTTACTTACAGTGTGTTATATATACAAAATGCTATTTTCAAAAGTTATACTAGTCTCAAGAGCTAGTTTAACTCCCCTTAAGAAAGAAGAAAAACTTTTAAAAATGGAGGGAAGGTTATAAACTTTAAGATAAATTTTCATTTTTTATTTCAGCTTTACCAGCAGGGACGATTATGTCAATTGGGTAGTGAATTTTGTGAATTGGAAGTTTTTGCTAAAGTATTGAGAGCTTTGGATAAAAGGTAAGATCTTTTATGTATTTATTTATTATTAAGTTTATTGGTACATTTTAGGTATACATTATGATCATATTCAAACTGTGCTGCTAGAAACATGGGTGTATGTCTATCACTGTGGTATGATGTTTTTAATTCTTTTGAGAAGATACCAAGAAAGGGAATAACTGGGTCAAATGGAACCTCCAGTTTTAGTTTTTTGAGGAATCGCCACACTGATTTCCATAGTGGTTGCAAAAGATAAGTTATTTTTAAAAACTGATAAAATAGCCAGGGATTTAACTTAGTGGTTCCACTGCCTGACTCATAAGCGCAAGGTCCCAAATTCAATCCCTGGTACCAGAAAAAATAAAAAATAAAAACAAAACAAAATTGGTAAAATATACACAACATTTTAAACCATTTTTAAGTGTATAATTCAGGAACATTAAATACATTAACCTTGTTATGCAACAATACACTATCCATTTACAGAATGTTTTTATCATCCCACACAAAAACTGTGCCCATTAAATGTTAACTTACCATGTCTTCCTCCCCTAGTGCTGCAACTGCCTTTCTGCTTTGTCTGTGTGAGTGTGAATACTCTAGGTGTGTCCCACATAAGTGTAAGCCTATATTTGTCCGTGTTGGTTTTATCTTATTTATCATAATGTTTTTAAGGCTCACCTATGTGATAACATGTCAGAATTTCTCTTCTCTTGTGTTGGGATTTGAACCCAGGGCTTTGTGCATGCTAGGCAAGGTCTGTACCACTGAACTCATACCACCCCTGCCCTCATTCCTACAAAAAGCTAGATAATCCACTGTGTATGTATGTTACATTTTATTTATCTGTCAGTGGTTATTTGAGGCATTTCTACCATTTGGCTAATATAAATAATACTTCTGTCAATATAGGTGTTCAAATAACTCTCTGAATTACTGCTTTAAATATTTTGGGGAGTTATATATACCAAATAGCTGGGTTGTATGTTATTTCTGTTTTTAAGTTTTTAAGAAACTGCAATGCTATTTTCCATAAATTATTTTTTTATAAATTCATTTTAAAGTAGCATTCAGTTTTTACTATTTCTTACGTAATTGGAAAGTATTTGTTAAATATGATCATTTCAGAAAATAGAACAGATAGAATAATCTCACCTTTATAACTACAATGCTAATATACATGTATAAAATTGTTTCATTGAACTTGTTTTTTCCATACATTTGGTATTGTTTCTCTACATTATGTTGACTTACTTGCATTTGTTACCAGAACCCCAGAAGCTCTGTCATGCTTTTTCCAGTTACTAATTTCCCTGTCCCTGTTTGCATTTTGCTGTTCTTAGATAATTAGGTTTATATAGTTTTTTAGTCACTGGTTCCCCTCTCCTCTAGGTTTGTTTTGCTCATTTTAGATGGATTCATATGCCCTTTTATGTGTGGCTTTTTTTTTTTTTTTTTGCTCAATATTTATGAGAATCACCTTTGTGTACTTTGTTCATTCTCATCACTTTATATATGCAGTGCTCTGTTCTATATCATTATTCACTAACACTTGAGTTGTTTCATTTTTACCTATTATGAATAGTGCTAGCCATAGGTATAGTGGCACATGACTGTAATTCTGGCACTTAGGCTGAGGCAGGATACCAAGGACTGTATACCAAGACCCTGTCTCCAAAAATAAAAAAACAAAACAATAAAAAGTATCGTAGGGCCAGGGATTTAGCTCAGTGATTCTGCCACCTGCCTTGCAAGCATAAGGACCCTAGTTCGATTACTGGTACTTAAAAAAAAGAAAAAGTAAAAGTATCGTCTCAGTGTTTGTAGAGTCCAAATGAAGCTTGGTGACAAAAAGGATAGATTTTTGTTCATCCAGTTCCATCTCCTTTGGAAAGTTAATACTCTGGCAGGTTAGTTTTTAGAATTCAAGAAGGGAGACTGAATTCATCTTGCCCGCTGTAAGTATTATGAAGTAGGAGATGACCTGATCTGTGATCTTACTCTTTTGCATTGTTCCCTAAATTTGCTTTCATTGTCATTCCTTTTTCATAAGCCACAAATCTAAAAGAATAAGAATATGCTTTCACAAAATACTGCTGACCTCTAATATTAATATTGTCAAGTTGCTTCATTTGTTTAGCAAATTAAATAAGTACTTATTGAATGTCTACTACTGTATGTGATAGCTACTGTTCTAGATGCCAGGAGTACAGCAGTGGATATGAACTTCAAGGTCCCTTCTTCATGGAGTCTATATTTTTATAGAGGGATAATAAGATAATTAGAGGCGTAAATTAAATGAATTTAGCATTCAAGGACAACTGAAGTGGCCCATATACTAAGACTATAGAAAAACCTTTTGGTTACTTAATTAAAATTAGTGACATACAAGAGTGATGTATTCCTGTAATCCCAGCACTCGGGAGTCTTAAGGCAGGAGAATCTCTGCAAGTTGGAGGCCAACCTGGGCTACATAGTGAGTTCAAGGCATTGCATAGCAATACCCTATCTCAAAAAATCCAAATATAAATAACTCTATTAAAAAATAGATAAGATCTCATTCAACCTTGGCAAAGGAAGACTATAGAAAAGGTTTTTTAAAATACTGTTTAAAGGAAGGTTAGCTTTCTGTGATTTGAATGATTGCCGTTCTGAATATGGCCATTGTAATAGGTTTAGTGGAATACCTCTTTGATCTCTTGCATTATTTTTCACTATTCCAAAGCCTTTACCTGGTAAGTGTTATTTGTGAGATTAAAAGCAAATAATCTGATCTTTTTTCCCTTTATCCAAAGTGGTTCTCCTGTTATTTACAGTTTTTTTTTTTAATTTATGGGTTTCGATTCACATATAATAGAATTTGCCATTTTAAATTAACACCCAGTAGCTTTTAGTATATTCACAGACTTTACAACCATCACTATCTTAATTCCAAAATACTATCTTGCCCCAAAAGGAAACCAATAACAGTCACCTTTATTTTCTGTCATCCTTGGATCCTGGTTGACCATTAATATTTACGTCTCTGGATTTGCCTATTCTAGATATTTCATATATATGCGTTCATACCATATATGGTCTTTTTATTGACTCTTTCACTTAACATTTTAAAAGATGTTGTTTATGTCCACATTTTTTTTTTTTAAAGACAAAATCTTACTATGTAGTTCAGGCTGGCTTGAAGTCATTTGTAGCCCAGGCTGACCTTGTACTCCCGGTGATCCTCCTGCCTCAGCCTCCTGAGTACTGGGATTACAGGCATGTGCCACCAGACCTGGCCTACTTTCTTTTTTATGGTTGGATAAATTTCCATTGTAAGGATAATACTGTGTTTTACTAATCCAGTCATCTGCTGATGAATATTTGGGTTGTTTCTACCTGTTTGTTTTTTTGTTTTTTGGGTTTTTTTTTACACACAGTGCCTCAGTATGTCCCCAGCCTTTTTTATTTTTGAGGCAGGCATGCTAAATTGTTTAATCTGGTCTCAATCTTAGGATCCTCCTGTCTCAGCTTCCTGAATTGCCGAGCTTAAAGGCATGTACCACCTTGTCCAATTTGCCAACACTTTTAAAAAAATTATTATAGCCATTCTGTTGGGTATGAAATAGTGTCTTACTATGGTTTTGATTTATATTTCCCTAATCACCAATGATTGTAAGCATATTATCTTGTGTTTATTGGCTGTTGATACTTCTTTGGATATTTCTGCCTCAGCCTCCAGAGTAGCTGACATTGCATAACTGCACCTGGCTGGCCGTTTTAATTGGGTTGACTTTTTATTGTTGAGTTATAATTGATTTTTCAGAGCTGATTTTAAAAGTTAGCTTCATCTTTTGTTGCTATCAAGTTACATACTGTGTGCTTTTCCTGAGTGTTACAGAATCATTCAGTAATGAACTGAGTAAAGATACCAGGCTTTTTTTTTTTTTGTACTGGGGATTAAATTCAGGGCCTTTGCACTGGGGTACTTCCCAGTCCTTTTTATTTTTGAGACAGGGGCTTGAATTTGGGATCCTCCTTCCTCAGGCTCCCAAAGTGCTGGGACTGCACCACTCCGCCATCTCTCAGGCATAGCCTCATAATTTATAGGGCAAACACTTTGTCTCATTCCATCTTGGAAATCATGGTGGTACATTATTCTTTTAAAGAGAAATCAGCTTTTTAAAAAGACAAAAATAAGATGTCTCTGTCAAATAATCTTTCCTTCTCTTTCAGACATTTGCTTCATCATTGTTTTCAGGCTTTGATGGATCATGGTGTTAAAGTTGCTTCAGTCCTGGCCTACTCATTTAGTAGACGGTGCTCTTACATAGCAGAATCTGATGCAGCAGTAAAAGAAAAAGCAATTCAGGTTGGCTTTGTTTTAGGTACGTAACAGTAAAACTATGGGAGAGTTTTATCCTGTGCAGACTCAGAGTTAAACCTAACAATAAAGGTTTCTTTTGGGAGTTTCCCTAAGTCTGCACAGGGAGGTTATGAAGAAAATATCAGAAGAATGAGGCGTGTGATGTATTAGATATTTACGTCTGTGCCAAGCACTACAGTAGCTATTTAAATGGTATCTTCCTAAATCCTCCTTCCATTCCAGTGAAGTGGTGGTATTAATACTATTTCACATGACTCAGAAAGGTTGAGTGAGTAATCTATCACTTAGTAATGAGCTGAGTTAAAAAATCTTGTGACTGTATAACTGCAAAGCACATATCTTTCTACTCTGTCATGCTGTGACATGGACCTGAATCCTTTTGGAGCCTCGGTTTTTTCATCACTAAAATGAGGATTATTCTGAATTTCTTCATGGAGATGTTATGAGGGTAATGAAAATATGAAAGCTTTATATGCTGCACATACATGAAAGTATTATTTACTACTTGTGACATAAGGTTTTCAAAAATTTATTTTGTATGTTTCAGGCAGTTATTTTTTAAAGTTCTTGCTAACTTCTTAATTAAAAAAAAAAAATTATTTTGAGATTACTGGGGCCAGGGATTTAGCTCAGTGCTGCCGCCACCTGCCTCACAAACGCAAGGTCCTAAGGAAGGAAATTACTGTATAGTCACAGGAAGTTGTAAAAGGGAAACCTAGTGTCCTTTGAAACATTTCTCCAGTTTCCCCCAATGGTGACATCTTATATAACTATAGGACAATATAAAAACCAGAAAATTGATGTTGGTATTTAGACTACAGACTAGTTATCACCAGTTTTTGCATGCATCCATCTATGTGTGTGTGTGTGTTACTATGCAATTGGTTCCATATATTCATAACTGCCACCACTGCCAGGATAGAGTATTGTTTTTAGCCTGTCATATTAATGTGTGCAGGTGCATGTTTTCCTTCACGTGTGCATATGGTACAGACAGATTTTCATGTTAGTGTCAGAACTAACATTTCCTTCAGTCTTAGAGCAGTGTTTTGTCCCCTATTTGCTGTCACAACTTCAGAACATTTGTGTGTGTGGTTGTGGGTCAATGTTTATCAAACCCAGAGGCGCTCTACCACTGAACTATATCTCTAGCCTCTTTTTTATTTTTAGACAGGGTCTTGCTAAATTACCTAGGCAGTACTTGAACTTGTGGTCCTTCTGCCTGAGTCTTCCAGAGTGCTGGGATGTTTGCTACCACATCCAACTCTTTAAAAGCATTCTTTTTTTTTTTTCTTTTGGTTTTTTGATTTTTTTTGAGACAGGGTCTCACTGTAGTTGAGAATGACCTGGAACTCTCTATGTAACCCAGGCTGGTCTCGAACTCACAGCGATCCTCCTGCCTCAGCCTCCCGAGTGCTGGGATTACAGGGGTGCACCACCATGCCCGGTTCTTTTAAGAGCATTCTTTTATGAAAAAGAATGTCTCTGAAAATAGTGTTGGTGAATTTGGTTAATAGACTCCCATCCAAGTACTAATCAGACCTGACCCTGCTTAGCTTCTGAGATCAAGTGCATTCAGGTGAGATCAAGTGCATTCAGGGTGGTGTGGTGCAGACTGAATTTGGTTAATTGTAAGGATGAACAACAACAGAGCTGGGTGTGGTGGCACACACTTTTAATTCCAGTACTTGAAAGGCTGAGGCAGAGGCCTGCATTGAGGCCTGAACTATATAGTGAGACTCTGTCTCAAAGAAAAAGAAAGAATGGCATCCCTGTAGCTGTAGGTGGTCACGTAAAAATCTGTGTGGGAGAAATTTAGTGCCAAGGTAAATAAGAGATAGGGAAGCTTGAGGCTTTCTGTCAGCTCTACATTTACTTATACCAACCTGGCTGCTGAAATGAGAAAGAAATCTCAGAGATAGATACGGATCCTAGAAAACTCAGTTATGTCATCAATTTTAATATCTTAAAATTATCTAGAAAATTAAAATTTTTCATTCTAGAAATATACAGTGATAATTTTTTAAGTAACAACCTTATTGAGATATAATTGATATGGTATACAATTGGACTATATAAAGTATACATTTCAGTGGTTTTTAGTACGTCACAGAATTATTCAAACATTACCACAGTTAAGCTTTAGAGCATTGTCATCATCCCCAGAAGAAATTCACACTCATTAACAGTCATTCCTCATTTCCCTCCCACCCCGGGCAATTGTCGGTTTGCTTTGTTTCTGTAGACTGCCTATTCTCGACATTTCATATGAACAGACTCAGAAAATATATGGACTCTCTGACTAGCTTGTTCCATTTAGCATAACATCTTCAAGGTCTGTCCATATCATAGTGTGGAAGTAGAGTTTAATACAACAACTTTTTATCCAAGAAGAGACCCCAAAAGACAAAAAGGGAAAACTAGGGTATTGTGAACAGTACCATCTCCAAGACTCTGATGCTAAGTTGGTACCACTGCCTGTGAGCTCTGAAAAGGGGGCCCATCAGAGGGAGCCTGAGAGTTAGAGACTGGCTAGCTGTTCTGATGTTGCTGACAGAGTGCCGTGAAACTGGTTTTGCAGAACTGCACCTGGAATTGACTATTGCTTACTGGAATGAACTGCGGCCACTGGAGTAAAGAATCATACCCTAGGGTGTTCCTGTCCACAGTAGGAAGGAGTGTTCCTTGTTCTTGTCTTGAAATCCTTCCTGTTGGTGGAGCCTGACAGTCAGTCAGCTGGCTAAGGAGAAAAGTAGTTTGCAGAAACATTGCCTCAGCATCAAAGAACAATCAAGGGGGGTAGATTTGAAGTTAAGAAAGAGCCTAATAACCTTCACATCATGCAATATATTTTTAGTACAGATAACTGTATTATTCTAGTCTTTTTGTAAGGGCCCTCGATTGTTCTAAAGCATAATTTTCTCCAGTAAAATATCTGTTTGATTACATGTAGCTTTAATTAAACACATGTCTAAGCAGAGTGCAGTATTTTGTTGACTCAAACATTATTTAGGGGGAGGACATTGAGACAGGGCCTCTCTATGTAGTTCAAGGCCTTGAACTCGCAGCGACCCTCCTGCCTCAGCTCAGAGTGTGGGGATGACAGGGGTGCGCCACCACATCCAGCTGACTTAGACATTGCCATTATGACAGGCCATATTATTTGTAGAAAATACTATCAGTTTTATTATCTCATAAGTTGCTAATTTCAGAGAATTAAAAATATAAAATATATGTGCTTTAGGATTTAAAAAAACAGTATATTACTTTATTTTCTGGTTATTTTAATCCATCGAGTATTCTTAGAGGCTTACAACTCTTATTTAAGGTCTCATCCTAATTCCTCTAATTCAAAACTTTTTAATAAAAATCTGACAATTAATGTCTTTTAAATTTTCACTTATTTTTGGTGCTGGAGATTGAATCCAGGACCTCACCTGTGCTGTGCATGTATTCCGCCACTGCAGCGACATTCCCAGCTTCAAGCTCAGCACAGTTCAGATAATATTCACTATCAATATGGCATTTTAGCTTTTGGCAGTTTACTAAATGAAAGTTAACTGCTTTTTCTTGTCCTTCAGGTGGCTTCCTTTCAGACGCAGGCTGGTATAGTGATGCCGAGAAAGTTTTTCTGTCTTGCCTTCAGTTGTGTACTCTACATGATGAAATGCTCCACTGGTTTCGAGCAGTAGAGTGCTGTGTGAGGTAGGTTGGACCAGAACCTATAATTATGTCCCTACTAGCTTGTATAGTTTTAGCTCATCTACTTACCTGCCAGTGTTTAAATAAATCTCAGAGGTAATACTTATGTGTCGTAGTTTCAGTATCCTAGCCTCTTCTTCCCACCTCCAAAATACAGTTAAATCTTGTTACTTTTCCATAGAGTCTATGTATTTATTTATTCAGTGGGTGTTTATTAAATGCTTGTGTGCTAGTAACTGTGTGAGGCAGTAGATGCTTAAAAAAAGTCAAGAAATGTACTTTTTTCTTGGGTATAGTTGGTACTCTTGCTTTATTTACATTTCCATTAATTGCACACAAAATTAGTATTTTACTTAGAAATGTTTTCCTTAAAGATAGGCTTATTCATTTATTTATTTAGTAGCAGTACTTAAAGGAAAGGCAAGGCGATCTAGAAATATCTCAGCCTTTATCGTCCTTATTTTTCCTGTGTATGTGACATGTAGCTCTAGCTATTTTGATAAAGGGTTCCTCTCTTCTCCCTATTTTGATTTGGACAGCCTTCCTTACTCTGTCTGCCTGCTTGCCTTCCTTTGTTTTTTGTGAGGCAGTCTCACTGTGTTGCCTTTTCACTCAGGTTGATCTCAAACTTAGAATTCTCATATCTCTGCCTCCTAAGGTATGTCCTATTGCACTCTAATGATTCAACATTTCTTTTTGTTTGTTTTTTCTTTTGTTATTTTGAGACGGGGTCTAACTGTGGTTCAGTATGGCCTTGAACTCACTATATAGTTTAGGTTGGCCTTGAACTCAGCAATCCTCCTGCCTCCGCCTCCCAAGTGCTGGGATTACAGGCTTGCACCACCAGGCCTGGCAGGTATTTTAGAGACAATTTAGTTAAATGCAGACTCTTTCAGAGATAGAATATATATTTTTCTATAAAACCATTTTGACCTAAGCTGTTATTGAGTAAAGCTGTCTTTTCTTCCTGTATTTCAGACTTTTGAGGATTTCATTTGTCCTTTTTTATGCAAGGCTTTCCTGAAATATTCAAATCCTAAAGATAAATTTATAATGTTTTAGAAATACTTTATGATAAATCATAGGATTTTATGCAGAAACTGTAAAGGAATTGGGCCTATAAATTGTTGTACTGATGAAAATAATCCATCTTCTGTTTACTAGATTGCGGGGGTTCTTGGGCTTAAACCCAAGGCCTTTGCACTGAGGTCTATCTTTAACCCTTTTTCCTTTTTATTTATTTGTTTATTTTATTTTGAGTCATGGTCTTGAGAAGTTGCCAAATTACCGAGGCAGGGATCTTCCTACCTCAGTCAACCGGAGTACTGGGATTACAAATGTATGCTGCTGTAGCCAGCTTAGACTACTTTATATGAGATTTGAGAGTAGAAATATTTCTGTGTACATCAACTAGTTTATTTGGAACAGAAAAGCCACTAGCATTTTATTTTCATATGTGTTTGATTTATTTTGCCCATATACTTGTTTCTTCTAATTTTAAGGCTGCTATATAAATTTTGCTTTAGCCTAACCCAAATTCTTTAGCATTGGTATTTGGATTCACAAACTTACTTTTTTCCACAATTCTGGTTGCAACTGAATTTTAAGCATATGCTCTTATCATTGGGTTTGCAACTGTACTAGGCAAGAAGAAGAGAAGGTCAAAAGGCTCATTATTATTATTATTATTATTATTATTATTTTGATACTGGGAATCAAACTCAGGACCTTGGCCTTGCCAAGCAGGCTCAGTGCTGCTAAGCTACATCTCTGGCCTGGGAACAAACTTTTCAAACTGTGCACACAAAATTGATTCCTTGAATGAACTCTGAAGTCTCTGTTAAGAAAGAAATGAAAGAGAATATTGAGATAATACAGTGAATAATAACTTGGCTGTCTTTGGGATTTATTTGCACATGTATACTTGCCAAATTCTTGGTTATTACGGATGTGTTTAGTATAATTTATATTTTTGTTACCTACTAAGTATTATTTGAAAAATGATTAAAATTTTCAGTTTAGCCTTTTTTAGTCAGAAGGACATTTAGGGTACTAATTGATCATGTGTTTAGTTAAATTGGAAAAGAACCATTTTGCAGAGTAGATACTAATGAAATCCTTTGGCCAATCCCATGGGCTTGAGCGTGATGCAAGAATGAGTGTGTTCTTCAGTTCAGTATTATAAAGGCAGTTTCTAATCTTGGGCTGGCATTGAAAGGGAATAAATGTCAGGGAGCCTTCTTGGCCTCCTGTGGTTAAACCTGGTACCGTTTTTTAGTCCTTTTTTATTATAGATTCTGTGTGTTTCCCTTTACTTGCTTCATTTAATAATTTTGTTTTTTCTGCGTACGGATGTCTGTTGCAAAGAAAATACAAAAAACCATGAAGAGGAAAATAAATATTGTGCATAACCTCTTGCCTAGAAATAACTGCAATTACTATGTAGTGTAGATGTCCTTCAGTATCCGTGAATGCATATTTCTAGGACTCCCATGAGTACTGAAACTGACAGGCATTCATGCCTCTTCTATAAGATGGCATAGCATTTGCATGTAACTTAGGAAATTCCTTTCTGTACTTCTGAACAATACCCAGTACAATGTAAATGCATTGCAAATAGTTGTTATGCTATATTGTTTAGAAAATGTACCTATTTCTGTGCTTCTTATTCTGTCTTCCCTCAAAATAGTTTCCATCCATGGAGTACTCAGATATGCAGGGCTGACGGTATTAGTGCATTTTCTTGGAATATAACCACCGAAAAGCTCCTCCTTAACCCCCCTTCCAGCTTTTTCTCTGGGATTGATCAGTCCATGTGAGCATGATTTGTCTGAAGTCATTTAAGAGCAGAGATCGTCTTTGGGTTTCTGAGGGTGAGACAGAGCAAACATACTTTTAAATCCTTTTTTAGCTGGGTGTGGAAGAGCACAACTGTGATCCAAAAGCTGAAGCAGGATTGTAAGTTCAAGCCCAGCCTGGGCAATTCAGTGACTTCTGTCCCCAAAATATGAAAAAGGGCTGTGTCTGTCAGTATGAGGGCCCTGGGGTCAGTCGCTATTACTGCCAAACAAAAGAAAATTCCTTTTCTATTATTTATTTTTAGATCATGGACATGTATTACCTCAATACTTTTTTTGTTAATATTTTTAAATGAAAAAAAATTTCATGAACTGTTGGGAGAAAGACTTGAATCTAGATCAAGAGAGAACCACGTCCTAGGTGGTTTGAATTGTCTGAAATCCAAAGATAAATAAAAGAATATTGGGCTGGGGACTACTTAGTGGTTCCACTACCTGCCTTGAAAGCGCAAGGACCTGAGTTTGATCCCCATACCAAAAAAAAAAAAAGAACTTTAACTTATACTAAGACTTGATATACTTGCATGTATCTTTTGTTTGTTTTGGGGGTGTTTTTTTTTGGTTTTTTTTGTTTTTTTTGTTGAGACAGGGTCTCACTATGTAGTTGAGACTGACCTGGAACTCACTATGTAGCCCAGGCTGGTTTTGAACTCACAGTGATCCTCCTGCCTCAGCCTCCCGAGTGCTGGGATTACAGGCATTGGTACCTGGGACAGAACTCGGGATTTTGTACTTGCAAGGCAGTAGGTGGAACCACTGAGCTAAATCCCTGGCCCTCCTTGCGTGTATCTTATCTGAGGAGAAAACTCAAGGAGTTTCTCTGTAACCAAATAAAAGTTAAATAATAAGAATTCTCAAGAAGGGGGAAAATGGTATAGAAAAAACAGTGGTAAATTTAGTGAGTATTTTAGTATATGCCTTCCATGTAAATGGAGTAGGAAGAGAGAGAACTAATTGGGAGTTTTTATAAATTTTAAGTATGAATGTTTTTCAAACTGAAGGTAAAAGAAAAAATTTTCAAATAACATAAAACTCTGAAATTCTCCAGAACATGTTCTTAAACATTAAGATAAAATTTTTTTTCGCACTGAAAACCGTTGCTTAATTAAAGAGTGTTGCCCTGCAAAGTCTCCCATTTTATGTGATGTTCATTCAAATTCATTATTTTATTTGTTTGTTTGTTTGTTTGTTGTTTTTTGTTGTTGTTTTAAGACAGGGTCTCACTCTGTAGTTGAGACTGACCTGGAACTCATTATGTAGCCCAGGCTGGTCTTGAACTCACAGTAATCCTCCTGCCTCTGCCTCCTGAGTGCTGGGATTACAGGCATGCACTATCACACCAGCTTTTTTTTCCTCAAGTTTTTAAAGATTACTTCCCAAAGTGATCCGTAAGGGCTGGGCTTGTTGACTCAAACGTGCAATCCTAGCATTCTGAGACTGAGGTAGAGCATTGCAAGTTCAAACCTCTCCTGGGTAATTTAGCAGCTTAGTAAGACCCTGTCGCAAAGTTCAAAAGGAAAAATTATCCAGTCAGTGGTTCATTTGTAGAGAGTACAGATATTTCCACTTGCCATAGAGGAATGAAAAAGTATAATAGTACTAATGTTTTGCAAATAGTTGCTGGAAGCTTTGGAGAAGTTTTAGTTTTTGCAGTCCTGGGGATCAAATCCAGAGCTTAATGTGTGTTAAGCAAGCGTTTTACCACTAAATCCCCAGCCCCTTTAAAATTTTATTTTATTTTTTCCCATTAAGTTTATTGGCACATTAAAGCAAACAATACAGTTACATTTATCATTGGAATCTTGTACCTTTACCTAATATGTCTTGTTTATTTTTTCCCACATACCCTACCCTCCCTTCACCCCTTTCACCCTTCCCTGTTAAAATTTTATTTTAGTTTGCAACAGGTTTGCTAAGTTGTCCAAGATAGGCTCAAGCTTTCTGTCCTCCTCATCTCTGTAATAGCTGGGGTTGCAGGAATGTCTTCCTCTTCCTTAGCTAGAAAAAATTTTGATGATGTCATCCACAGGATCAAAGTAACTGATTTTTAGAAAAGTTAAAGTTTTACTCTGAAAGTTTTATCTGAGACTAACTTGAGATGACTCCAGTGGTAGTTACAATGATCGTGTATATTTAAGAAACATA